TCTTTTTTGTTGTAACTTAAGCATTTTCAGATTGATATGAAAAGCATGTGAAAATGGTAAAAGTGAGTGGAGTCACAAAGCATCTTATATGTACTAAATTGCTTAATTTTATTTCTGTGTTCATTAATTTAGGTAGTTCTATGGTTCTGTTAAACAGAAGTTACCATTTTACCAACTGAAAAAAAAAGTCTTGTGGGGTTTTTTGGGGTAGAATCAGCACAAATTTAGCATTTAATCCAGTAGATACTTAATTTGAAGAGTCTGTGCCAGTGGTGAGAACCTTCCACCTTGAGGCCACATGTGGCCCTCTAGGTCCCCAAGTGTAGCCATTTGACTGAATCCAAACTTCACGGAACAAATCTACTTAATAAAAGGATTTGTTCTTTAAAATTCAAAGGCCACACCCAAGGACCTAGAAGGCCACAGGTTCTCTACCCCTAGACCATTTCTGAAAATGCAGTGACTTTGAGTCATTAAATTAATGGAAAATAGCTCTGTGTACAGGCACAAAGCAGACACTATGACCATATTTTCTTCCCGATGGAGCTGATGGATATCTCTTACTGTTCAAAAACTACTGGTCTAGACTGTATTTTTCTAGTTTATTGATATTTAGGGTAGAATATTAATGCAAAAACTAACTATAGATTTTATATCCACTAATCTTCAAATAACTTTTAGGATGTCAGATTAGAATTTTAGAATTTGAAAGGAAAATAGTTATAGTTTAGCTTCCTATAGATGAGGAAACTGATGCTTGAGAAAACTTGTTGCTTGCCTATGGTTGTTAGATACAGGACTAGAATCCATTCCCACTGACCTGGGAAATTATTCCGAAAGAATTTGTCCATGTTTAGGTCCAGTATGAAATTCAAACTAATCCCCAAAATGACCTCTATGGTAATAAGAAATAACTTGTGAAATAGCATCGAACACCTCAGTTTCTGAGTATTTATAGATAAAACTGGGAATTAGGTGGGTATCTTTTCTAAAGAAATTATAGAGCAGAGGTCCTCCCAAAAATTTGTGTTTGTTTTCATATATTCAGGGTAGCAATTTGCTGATTCTTATTAGCAATAGCTGACCTTTAATGTTTCAAAAACTGCTGAGTGTATACATTTATATACATTTTCATTTTATACATTTGTATACATTTTCATTTAACCCTCACAACAACCCTGTGAAATAGGGGCTATTGTTTACCCCATTTTACAGATACAGAAACTAAAGTTCAGAGAGGTTAGTAGGCTTTCTGGTGACCTATACTTAATTTGGCAACAAAGAAAAAGAAAATGAAATTTTTTCTATCCTTCCATCAGTTATGCATTAACATTTGATTATAGAGGAGCAGGTCACCTAGTTTAGCCCAGTGGTAATGTGAGTAATTCAAGCTCATATGAGTGATTTCTTTTGGTAATCTATCTAGTTTTCGTGAGATGTCATCTTAATGGTGAGATTCTACAGTTGTATTACATTGAATGGAAATTTTCCTTTGGTATTCAGCTCTAATGTTCATCTTTACCATTTTTGTTTATAATGAAGTATTTTGGGGGGGGTTTCTCATTCACTACCCCTTACTCAGCTTAAAGTCTGTGAAATCTGTGAAACTCTTATTATTGTATATGTTCTGCCATTTAATCATTCATCGCCTTGTACTGTTGTTATTATATCGATGGCTTGACAACCAAATTGGGTAGTAAGCTCTGTGAAAGCAGGGCTCCTTTTTTTTTTAATGTTCTTAAAATATACTGCAATGCCGCGTGCACAAGACACTCAAATCACTTGATGAATCCAGAGCAGAACCAACTAGAAGGCTACTGCAGTAGTCCAAGAAGGAGGTAATGGGGGCTGAGGAGTCAGATGAGATTCTTCTGACCTCATCATTCAACTGACATTTCTCCCTGCAGAGTTTACAGTGATTTCTTAGTCCTTGTCCTTCTCAACCTCCCTGCAGCATTCGACACAAAATTGAGGAGGGGACCTCAATGGCCAGCTACTCCAACCCATCAGTGAAAGGAATCCCTACTATAACACGTCTGACGAGTACTCTAACTCCTGCTTGAAAGACTTCAGTAGTGGAGAACCTGCCTCTTCTCATGGCAGTTCATTCTACTTTTGGACAGCTCTAATTGTTAGGAAGTTTTTCCTCATGTAAAGCCTAAAATTGCATCTTTGCAGCTTCTACCTGCTTCTGCTTTCTAGGGCCAAATCAACAACAAATCGTACCTTTCCTCCACATAGCAGCCCTTCAGATCTCCAGGCTAAATAACCACAGTCTCTTTATCCAATTCTCACGTGATACGGACTCAGAGTCCCTCCCAGCATTGTGTCATGTGCAAATTTGATGAGACAGTTTTTAAGGATGGGAGAGCATTTTTGTTGACATTAGGGATGGGTCTAGTATATTCAGCAATGAGAGAGACATCTGGTAGACATCGAAATAGTCTTCCACCAATTCATCAGGCTTCTGTGACAGGTTGGCTACCATACTCATCTCAGACTCCTTCTTGTCCAAGTGTTCCATGGTATATTTCAGTGATGAAAATTTCTTTTTCTCTTTGACTCTTCATCAAATACTGTTATTCTATCTGTCTCTGGTTCTTAATTGTATTGTTGACCACCTGGAAACTCATGTCTCTCTGGGTTTTCATGACATTGCTCTTGGTTCTCTTCTAACCTGTCTAAACATTCCTCAGTACCCTTTGCTGGATTATCATCCATATTATACCTCCTAAATTTGGGTGAAAACCAAGGTTCTGGCCTGGTCCCTCTCTTTCCTCCCTAGGCTTACTTGGGAGTTCCCATGAGTTTAATTATTGCTATACAGGCAATTCCAAGATTTATATATACCAAGCCTTAATCTTTCCTTAGCTCCAGTCACCAAATGCCTTCTGGACATTTTGAAGTGAACATACCATAGGCATCCCTGATTCAACATGTCTTAAAGACATAACTCATTCCCTGAAACTTTTTCTTCTTCCAAACTAATCCTATTTCTGTTGAGGGCACCACTATCTTTTCCAGTCACCCATGGATGCAGCATCACTTTGTCATTCTTGACCCTTCCTCCTACTGTGTATTTAGTTAATTGCTAAATTTCATTTCTGCCTCAACATATTTTTTTTTTTGCTTTTAGGCAATTGGGGTTAAGTGACTTGCCCAGGCTCACATAGCTAGTAAGTGGTCTGAGTTCAGATTTGAACTCAGGTCCTCCTGACTTCAGGGCTGGTACTCTATCCACTGTGTCACCTAGCTGCCCCCACAACATTTTCATCTAGAGAGAGAAAGTCTATTCAAAATAACTACGGAGTGTATAAAATATTTGGGAGCCTACCAAGACACAGCTGGGATCTCTATGAAACAAAAAATACACATTACAGAAATACAGAAGTAAATAATTAGAGAAATTAATCATGGATAGACTGTTCTAGTTAATTTACTTTGTGGTGTACTAATCAAACTCAATCTCTCTTTTCTGACCCTTTAATATAGCCAGTAACCTATCCAGGCCCTTATCATCTCTCATCTAGACTATTTCTATAGCCTCCTAAATAGCCTCTTTGCCTCAAATCCCTACCCCCACACACACTTTAGTCTATTCTCCAAAAAAAGAAAAAAGTGATTTTTCCTTTGTATAGGTCTAACCATGTCACCCTATTGCTCATTAAATTCCAGTGGCTTCATGTTATTCTAGGATCAGATATAAACTATTTGATATTTAATGTGCTTTGGTCCCATCTTACCTTTCCAGTTATATTACATATTAAGATCTTTTCCCATGATCTAGCCCAAACTAGCGTTCTTGATGTTTCTCGATCACTGCACTCTCAGCTTCCTTCACTTTATCCTTGCTCTGACTATCCCATGGGCCTGAAATGTACTCCTTTTTTCCTTATGCTTTATGAGATTTTTCATGATTACTCCTTGCTGTTGGTCCATGTTACTTTGTATCTATTTTCTGTGGGGTTTTTTTGGGGGGGTAGGGGGTATATACTTATGATATTTTTGCTGTAAAAATGTAATTTAATGGTAGGAACTATATACTCAGTGTCCACCTTGTACAGTGAGTGAAGGATATAATTGCATGTTGATTGATCAACAGTAGATTAACTGCTCTTATCACTTAGACCCAGAACCTTGGAATCTTCTACCCTTCTCCTTATTCTTACTATCCAGTCAGTTACCATATGCTATTGATTCTTCCTTCACATCCTGTCTCTCATCTCCTTTCCCATTCACACAGCCGATACACTAGTTCAGGCATTACCTCTCACCTAGACTATTACAGTAGCCTACTTTGATTTTGTAGTTCATGGGACTTGGGTTTGAGGTGTTCCATGCTATATCTGACATTTTTTGTATGACCCTGGCTAAGTAACTTTTGAGCTCCAGTGAAATGGGGACTGTGCTCATACTGTCATACTTCACAAGGTGTGTTTTAGAAACAAAACAGAACATTTATATAGTATTTAAGGTTTATGAACCAAAAAGGCAATATCCCGCTTGAACTTCCCAACAGTCTTGTGAAATGGGTACTATAGCTATTGTTGCTGTTTTATATATGAGCTCAGATTAAGTGGTTTGTCCAGGGTCATATAGTAACTGTAGGAAGGAAGATTTGAATTCTAGTCTTTCTGTGCTCAGGTCCAGCATTTTGTCCACTGTTCCAAATTGCTTCTAAAAGCTGATATTAGTATAACCTTTTAAAGTGTTCTTAATGTTTACTCTCAAGCCCTCTTTCTCTAAACACACACACACATACACACTCTGAATAGCCTTTTGAGTGTTTGAAGTAGGTATACATATTAGTATCCTCATTTTAGAGCTAAGAAAATAGGTGTTCATAGATAGAGATTGAGTCTTGTCATTAAACTTTAGGTGCCTACTTGTGTGCTAGGCACTGTGCTAAGTGCTGGGGATACAAAAAGAGGCAAAAGATAGTCCTTGCTCTCAAAGAGCTTACAGTATAAGGAAGAGATAGCAAACATATGTACAAACAAGCTACATACAGGGTAAATAGGAAGTAAATAAGACAGGGGAGGCACTAGAATTTGAGAAAGGCTTCCTGTTGCAGGATCAGGAACATGACCATCTTTGTATATGGCTGAGCAGGGGAAGTGAATAGGTTAAGGAACTGAGTGGTTAGGGTGTTTGTGGGAGAGTAAATACGTATGTTGAAGTTTCCTAATGTGAGGACAGGAGTTGGGAAAGAAAAATTTAGGACTATGTACTGAATTCATTGAGGAAGGAAGGGAAATGACTTGGAGCTTTGTAGTCAACAGCTTACCACGGTTTTGATTGAGTGGTAAAGACAAATAGTATGAACCTTAAAGGAGGAGAGGTTACTGAGTGATGTAGATAGGGAGCGAAGCAAGTGGCAATGGGGAACAAGGAGTATTCAACTTGACCTGCACCAGTGATCAGAGGGGAATGAATGAAGGTGCAGCCAATACTGGAAAGAATGGCCAGGGAGGTTGTATCATCAGCAGGGAGTCAGGTTCCTGAAATAGCTAAAAGATGGAAGTAATGGAAGAGAAAAAGATTTAAGATGATGAGAAATTTGTTGCCTATGGAACAAGCATTCCAGAAGGCACAGTGGAACAGTGAGGGTGGTATTTGGTTGAAACTTTGCGGTGGAAAATCATGGGGGGAACTGAATAAAGCAATCAGATGGTGGAGGATGGGGACAGGGTTTGGATGATGACCTACAGGGGTTCAGAATCACTGGGATGTGTAGGTTATGTTTGGATTTGAAGCTGTCATTGAGTGGAAGTTGTTTTCCTCTTCCCAAAGGAGGCTGGAGATTGGATTGGAGACAAGTTCAGTAGATGGAAGGCATATGGTCAGGTGGGGAGGCTCCATTTTGCTGTTCCTCTTCCCTCTGAAGGCAGTATTCTGTGATCTCATAAACTACAAAGTGGCAGAAGTAAGATTTAGACCAGGGGTGGGGAACCTGCAGCCTGGAGGCCATGTGGCCTTAAGGCCTCAGGGGAACCTGGTCTTCCTGAATATACATTCCTGATTTCAAGTTTGGTATACTATCAACTGTGTCACATTGCCTGTGGTGAGGAAAGTGGTAATATTGCTATCATCACTAGTTTAGATAGTAAAGCATTCTAAGAATTGTAGATTCTGATAGCTTGGTACATATGTTATTAAATATCCTCTTTTATAAATATGCTTTTGATCTATCAGTAAAACATAGTAGTAGTAAAGATTTATAAAATTTTGAAGTCTTCACAAAGATAGCCATTTTGCCTTTTGGTCATATTACTGAGATATTTCTATTCTCATGGTCCAAAAGATTTAAACACAAACACTTCTGAAGAAAAACAGACTTCTGGCAGTCTAGAGTTTCAAAGTAGAAAATCTGTAATGCAGTTGTATTTACAGATCTTAATTGCTATTAGGTTGTTTGGAAAAAGGCAAGCTCCAGGGTAACCAAGACCTAAACCACATGGGGCTTCTAGATGAAGATCAACTTTTTGAATTAAGGACTTCTGGCTAGTGTGGGTCAGATCTGACTAGAATGAGTTTGATGCCTTCCACAAGTCTATACTTGTTGGCTGTGGAAACACCATAGTTCATTGGCCTGCAGCGGGTGATAATTGGCTTTTTTTTTTTTTGCAATAAAACACAGGTAAATTCTTTAATTTTTTACTTTTAAGTTTTAACTTCTCTAGAATCTGTTCCTCATTGTGACAGTTCATCTTTTGTTCTATTTCTTTTTAATTTTCAATTTTTAAAGCCTAACCAATCTACTACATTAACTGTTTGCACTGAAATCTTGCTGATAATTTCCAATATTTTTTCTTATTTCTCTCTCCTGGAATAGTGTCCTTTAAGACAGTCTTTTTCTTAATGATGTTAGAGAATTCAGAGCTACTGAGACTTTTAGAGATCATTTAGTGTGATGCTTTTGTTTTACAGATGAAGTAAATAATTGAAGCTTAGATAGATGAAGTGCTTTTTCCTGAGATGATACAGGTAAGTAAGTAAAAAGTGATCCAAGATCTAGATCTTCTGATATGTAATTTGTTCTTTCCATTACACCAAACCTCATCACATGCAGTCAAACAGAATGTCTTTTTCAAACATTTTAACAGTGTAGGTGACATTTATAATGGATCTGTGCAATACCTAAAATAAGGTAGAAGGCAGGGATTTGACTGTTTCAGTTTAGTCTGCCCCTGCTTTGTTGAATCTATCTTGTCCTGAGGGGATTTACATATATCAGATATTCTTAGCCTCGGGTTGCCAAGAGTAATAAAGGGGCCTTGAGATTCAGATGATGGCAGATTGGGATGCGAGTGCTACAGTGTTTGTGACTCTTTTACCTATACTTCATTCCCTACCATCCAGAGATGAGGCTACAAGGTTGATGCTGAGTATGAATTAAATCACAATCATGCTGCTGGGATTTTAGTCTTTATATCTTGAGGAAGTTGGCTACTGTATAAGGGCTTGCTGTGATGGTGACTCATTTTGGGAGATTCAGAGTCTCATCCTGTCAAAGGTATTAGGAAAGCATGTGTTCCTGGATATTCAGAATTTGAGTAGTAGGTTGTCTTATCTATTAGCTTCATCTTCAACAAAGTATGAGTTCAGCCTGTCTGGGAGATCAGAACAAGTATTTCCTGGCTCAAACACCTGTACAGAAATACTGCTGCTCCCTATGTTTGAAGTTCCTGATACTACCCTCAGATCAGTCAAATAGTCATACTTTATCTCATTTTCACCTACATCTATTCATCTTTTGTAATCTAGAACTCTCAAATTCTACTAATTATAATCTGTTCTTCTGTCTCTGCCCCTCCCCATTCCCCATTAACATGAATGAAAGAAAAATACATTGAGAAGGCAATTAAAATAGTCCCTTTTTGGTGAGTTGTCCTAGTGTTGAGATTCATTACCATTCCTATAAACTCACAGTCTAGTACTTCATTAATACACTTGTGAATTTTGGTGAAAGCACAATTCCTTGGAATTCATCTGCCACGCTCTGTGGTTGCCTTGACATGCTGGACACTTCAACCTTGTCTTCAGTACTATAGCTTCCTGCTTGGCTTTTTCTTAGCAGCATGATTGCCCTCAAAAGGCTGGCTCCATGTTCTTTCTGGTCAGCTGGCACTGTCACTTTCCAGATCATCTTTTAGCAATGGGATGTTCGGCCTTGCTCCTTTTTATGTATCTTGGGCCAATTAAAAAATTATTAATTTATTTTTAGTTTTCAACATTCACTTTTGAGCTTAAAGTGCTTTTGAGTTTAAAATTTTTCCCCCTCCCCAAGATGGCATGCAATCTGATAAAGGCTCTACATATACATTCCTATTAAACATATTTTCACATTAGTGATGTTGGAAAAAATTAGAACCAATAGGAGGAACCACAAGAAAGAAGAAACAAAACAAAACAGAAAAAAAAGCAAATAGTATGCCTGATCTGCATTCCAACTCCTTAATTCTTTCTCTGGATGTGGATAGCATTTTCCATCATGAGACCTTTGGAGATGTTTTAGGTGCTTGCATTGCTGAGAAGAGCTAACTCTATCAAAGTTAGTCATCACACTATGTGGCGGTTACTGTGTACAATGTTCTCCTAGTTCTGCTCATTTCATTCAGCATCAGTCCGTCCATACAAGTCTTTCCATGTTTTTCTGAAGTCCGCTTGCTCATCATTTCTTATGTCACAATAGTATTCTATTACATTCATATACTACAGCTTGTTCAACCATTCCCCAGTTGATGGGCATCCCCTCAATTTCCAATTCTTTGCCACCACAGAAAGAGCTGCTATAAATATTTTTTTACATGTGAGTCCTTTTCCCATTTTTATGATCTCTCACGGCCCTAGAAGTGCTATTGCTGAGTCAAAGGATATGCACATTTTTATAGCCCTTTGGGCATAGTTCCAAATTGCTCTCCAAAATGGTTGGATCAGTTCACAATTCCACCAACAATGTATTAATGTTCCAATTTTACCACATCTCCCATATTTATAATTTTCTTGTTTTGTCATGTTAGCCAACCTGATAGGTGTAATGTGGTACCTCAAAGTTGTTTTGATTTGCATTTCTCTTGGGCCAGTTTTTAAAAATATTTTCTTATGAATTTAAACATCAATAGATTTGAACATTTCAGTATATAAAGAACAAAGGATTATTTATGAAACTATCTGTTCATGTATCATCTAGATTTTATCCTAACCCTTTACCACGCTTTATACTCTGGTTTGCTATTTCAGCTATATCTTATTCTATCTACTCTTGATTCCTTTGCCCTATTGCCACTCACTTTACCAAACACCTAGCCTGGAGTTAATCCCACTAGCTGACTCTTGTTGGTGAGGAAAGTAATATAACTGTTCCATTTAGGTCCTAAATTCTGCTGAGGAAATAAAAGTTCACACGTAAGTAAATATAGGTTATATGTAGGGTTTTTTTTTTTAAGGGTGAACACTAACAAGCAGGTAAATCAAGTTCCACTGAGTGACCTCTTCATGGCTCCAAGTCTTTGAACTTACATATATTTTTTTCTTTTTCTTTTTTAATTAATTTATTTTTAGTTTTCAACAATCACTTCCATAAGCTTTTGAGTTTTAAATTTTCTCCCCCGCTTCCCTCCCCAAGAGGGCACACAATCTGATATAGGCTCTACATATACATTCCTATTAAGCATATTTTCACATTAGTCATGTTGTGAAGAATTAGAATAGGAACCACAAGAAAAAAAAACGAAACAAAACAGAAGAAAAAAAGAGCAAATAGTATGCTTCGATCTGCATTCAAACTCCATAGTTTTTTGGGTGTGGATAGCATTTTCCATCATGAGGCTTTTGGAGTTAGATCGTTGCATTGCTGAGAAGAGCTAACTATCAAAGTCAAAGTTAGTCATTGCACAACATGGCTGTTACTGTGTACAATGTTGAACCTATATATTTGCTCAGGTTTTCCATTTCCTTCAAACAAGAAACTATTCCTTTTGCTCCTGAAGGCTATGGTATTCCCCCCTTTACTGCTAAACTTCTAAAAAATTCATTTAATATTTGGTCTCTCCACTTTCTTGCCATCCATGCCTTAGGTCCTTGCACCTTGACTTCTGCACCTCCATACAAATGTTTCTTCCCAGGTGCAGTTAACTAATTTACAAATCCAGTGGCCTCAAGTGTTAATGGATCTGCAGTATTTCACATTGATAACATGATTTCTTTTGGTTCTCCAACTTCCTTTTTTCCTTTCTTTCTTTTTCTTCTTTCCTTGTGTGGAAATTTCCTAAGGATAAGGATCTGTTCTCAGCTTTCCTCTATATATTTTCTTGGGTAAGCTAATATAAAGTGACTTTAATTGTTACTAAAGTTAAATAAATGATAAAATACATCTCCAGGTCCCACCTCCCTGTTGAGCTTTAGGACATTTCCAACCAGCTGCTGGACATTTGGTTGTACTGCTGACATCCCAGTATACATCAAACAACTCATCACAGCCTTCCAAAACCTGCCTCTTCTGACCTCATTTCTGTTGGTGCCATCATTTTCCCAGTCTTAAAACTTCTGATGGGGCAGCAAGGTGGCACAGTGGGTAGAGCACCACCTCTGAAGTCAGGAGGACCCGAGTTCAAATCTGGTCTCAGATTAAATGTGACACCTTATTAGCTGTATGACCCTAGGCAAGTCACTTAACCCCAATTACCTAAAAACAAATAAAACTTCTGAGTTTTGCTGTCATTTGCTATCAGTTGCCCTTTTGAAATCTTGCATCAGTCCCCCCTGCTTTCCAACTGTCTTTTCTCTGTGGTAACAGCCTTTTAACTACTTTATCTGCCTCCACCCATTTTAAAAATTAATCTGCCCATCCTCCTACCAATTAAGCAATAAAAAAAAACACTTCAAAAAACAAATACCTCAGTCTGCATTGAGGTATTTGTTTTTGGCCGACTACACAGTCTGACAAGATACAATATGTCTTTCTGCATTTTAAGATCATCACCTCTGTGTCAAGAGGTAGGTAACATGTTTGATCTTCATTGTTTTTGGATTTGTAGTTTGTCATTGATCAGAGTTTGAAAGTCTTCCAGAGTTCTTTTTCTTTATAATGTTAATTAACATTTTATAAATTCTTCTAGTTCTGCTCAGTTTGCTCTGTATCAGTTTATCAGGGTTTTCTCAGTTTCCTCTGAAATTGTCCATTTCCTAATTTCTTCTGGCACATTAATGTGCCATTACATTCATCTACCACCATTTGTTTAGCCATTCCTCAATAGAACAGCCTTTTACTTTTAGTTTATAATTTTTAGTTGCTATACAGATAGGTCTTTTTCCTCCTTTGATTTCTTTGGGAGTAAAGACCTAGTGGTGATACAGCTGGATCAAAGGCATAGCATATGCAGAGTTTGATAACTTCCTAGTTATAATTTCAAATTGTTTTCTAATTGGCAGCTCCACCAACAGTCATGTTTTCCCACTGCATCTCCAACATTTGTCATTTTCCTTTTGTCATCTTTGCCAATCAGATAGGTATGAGCTGGAATTTCAAAGTTCTTTTAATTTGCATTTCTGTACTTGTTAGGGATTTAGTATATTTTTTTCCATGATTGTTGAAAACTTAGATTTCTTCCTTTGAAAGCTGTATTAGTTTGTAAATCCTTTTTATTTTATGAAGTCAGAATTGTCCATCTGCTTGTGATCTTAACCCTTGTTTAGCCATAACCTCTTTCCTTATTTATAAATCTCCGAAGTAATTTCTTTGATCTTCTAATTTATGATGTCACTTTATATGTCATGTATTCATTTGGAGCATATCATGTATTATAGTGTGAGTTGTTGGTCTAAACCTTTTTTTCCCTTTTTCTTTTTTTTTTTTCTTTTGGTGAGGCAATTAGGGTTTAAGTGACTTACCCAGAGTCACACAGCTAGTGAGTGTTATGGATCTGAGGCCAGATTTGAATTCAGGTCCTCCTGATTCCAGGACCGGTGCTCTATCCACTGTGCCACCTAGCTGCCCCCTGAACTTCTTTTCTGCAAGACTACTGTCTTACTGTTTTCCCAGCAGTTTTTTGTCAAGTAGTGAGCTCTTCCTCTGTTAACATGGGCCTTTGGGTTCTTCAAATACTATGCTATGTATATTTATTTCTGTATCTTGTGTGCCAAATTTGCTTCACTGATTTTTTTTAAATTTTTTTCCCAGTTGCATGTAAAACAATTTTTAATATGTTAAACTTCTGTGTTTCAAATTTTCTCTCCTTCCCTGAGACAGTAAGCAATTTGATATAGGTTATACAGGTGCAATCATGCAAAACATATTTCTGATTTACTCATGTTGTGAAAGAAAACACAGACTAAAAAAAAACCCATGAAAAAATAAAGTAAAAAATAGTATGCTTCAATCTGCATTCAGACTCCATCAGTTCTTTTCTCTGGAGATGTGTAACATTTTTCATCCCAAGTCCTTTGGAATTGTCTTAGTACTGATATTTTTTCAAACCATTGTCAAATTATTTTAATGGTTACTTCTTTTTAGAGCAACTTCTTTTGTAATCTTAACTCCCAAATGTAGGAGTCTGACCATGTTTCTCCTCCAAACAGAAAACTTTAGAATGGCTTCTTTCCCTTTAGCCTACCCTACAATAATCTTTATAAGCTGGCTTATTTACCTTTACAATACTCCATCCAGGCTAGAGTAGCTGCATTCTGTTTCTTGTAGGTTTCTTTGCCTAGAAGGAATCTTTCTATGCTCCTTCCCCCCAAAGTTTCTAGCTTAGTGACTGACATTTTTCAAGGTCTAGTTTAGGTATCACTTTATTAGCAAGATGTCTACAGCTGGAGAGTTTATTACCAGATTTCTACAACTGGAGAGTAGCCTTCATTCCTTAAATATCTCAGGCCACCCTAATGTGTATTAAGTACTAATATTATAATTATTGTATTCTAGCTATTTGTGTTTGGCTCCTCAGGACTGTCCTGTACATAATATATGTATGTATTCATTGAGGGCAAAGACTTTTTCTTCAGAGGTACACAACTGTAGCAAGTTTATCAGAGATGAGAGTAGAGTACTTACTTTGGATACAGAAAAAGCTACTCTGTAGCAATGGAAAAATCAGTTGATGAGACCTAATTACTGTGCCTTTTTCAGTTGTCATAAGTCTTATCTCCTTATTAAGTTTTTTGTAATGCTGACTCTGGGTAAAAGCACAATTTATATGCCTGTAAGAAGCGTTTTTAGAGTAAATTGGCAGGATGGGTCTTCTCTCTGAAGCTTTGGGAATTTCCTTTCTATAGACTTTTAAGTCTATCCTGTTTTTCTCACACTTCCTCTTCCCCCTCACCCCCTAAGCTAATAACCAGAAAAAAATTTGATTTTATATGTTGAGCTATACTGTGCACATTTAAATTGCTAGAAGGTAGAGAGGCATGTTATTTTTGTACTATGCCTAGCTAGCTTATTGCAAGTTTTGAAATATTAAACATCTTTATTTCTTTGCTTATTTTAACTATGTTCATAATTTTAGTTTATAATATATTCTGTTTTTCCCCTTAATAATAATGATATTTTTAAAAACCCAGTTAAAGAATGGTAACTTCAATTAGCCATCTTACATTTTTAATAACATTACATCCTTTCCTTTAGAAAGGGCACTAGCATATATATCACATTTATTATTTAATCCCTATTTATCTATAAAGCTGGTTTGCAATACAGACATTTTAGAATGCTGGTTTCTAACCTTTTGAGTATGAGCACCCCTTTTTTGTTATCAAACTTCCATGGACCCTCCCACCTGATAATTGACAGATATGACAGAAGTTTTGAATTCAGTAATACTTTCAGGTGGACTTTTTATAAAAAATCTCAACAATATCAATATACTATTACAAAAAACTAACTCATATGTATGAGACTTTATCTAGTTTACAGAACGTATGCTTTATGGATTCCTAGGTCTCTTGCAATAATCCTGTTGGTTTATAGGTTGGAAACTACTGTTCTAGAATATATCCAATAAAATATTGGATATGCTGATTTGAACTGTAGAACTTGAAAGACAGTAGGTGTAATTACCATCTAAATTCTTCATTAAATTGAAGGCCACACTTCTGGATCTTGAACAAATCTGTAGGAAATAAACCTTTGGCAATATTTTTCTTATATAGTTTTGTGGTCCAGCTAGAGTACTTTTAACAGGGAAGGAGTGGCAAAAATGCAAATGTAACAAACTTTCATCTTACCTTAGAGTAGTAATTTGTTATCCTCATAAGACATGATCTATTTGGGAGGGTTGAAGCAAGAAAATTCTCAGTAAGAACCAGACTAGGATACTTGGGATTATTTTTCCATCTCTTTTGTGTGAATTCTCAGAATATTAGATTTATGAAGATAATTAACAAAACAAAAAACCAGCTAAGGAGAATGGAGCACACAGTAACTAAATGGAAAAATGAATTAAAATAATTAGACAAACCAAAGAATCTTCATGACAGCGTAAAGCATGTTATTGAAAAATTATATTTTATGCATTAAAGAATTTAAATGTAAATAGATGGCTGTGTTGATGTTTAATTTTAAAACATATTTGAAATTGTATATTTAGTCATTCTCAAATCAAGCCCCCAGTGAGTTTTATCAGGTGCTTCCTGTGTGTTTAGTATTGTTTAGATCTTTTGGGGATAGAAATAAATGCTCCATTTCATTTTACATTTTGTTGTTCAGCTCTGTCCATTTTTTGTGACCCTTTTGGTGTTTTCTTGGCAAAGATACTGGAATAGTTTGCTGTTTCCTTTTCTAGCTTATTTTACAGATGAGGAAACTGAGGCAAACAGGATTAATGACTTCACCAGGGTCACACAGCTAATACAAGTGTCTGAGGCTAGATCTGAACTCATAAAGATGAGTATTCCTGACTCCAGGCCTCGAATTCTATCCACTGAGCCACTTACCTGGGTGAGAAAAATGCTGAGACAAAGGGGTTTTGGTAACTGGTTAATAGTTAGTAGTGACAGATAAAAATTTTCAGTTTATTTTTTGAAACTGTAGTATAAAACTTCAAGTAAACCAGTAAAGTCTTGTAAAAGAAATATGAAGATTCTCACTGTTGAGTTTTTCTCCAGTATTCAATGAATGCAACTAAAATATGTAATTTTATTTGCCCCCCCAAATGATAATTCATAAGTTTAAAATACTTTTGAGGCAATTATTTTTAGAAAATGTTATAAGAGAAACTTCATTGTGGAACATTTTAATGAAATATTTTTGACAGCAGGCTGAGGTAGAAGATAGGGAAAAAAAAACCCACTAAGGGCTAGTCAGAACTCACTTTACTTTAAAGGTGCCGTTATTAATAAAGTAAGTATCTACAGTAAAGAGAAGGATACTTCTTAAATAAAAGTGTCTTAAGTCAAGTCCTTATTTTAAGGACCTGAATATAGATTTTAGTAATGAAATCTGGGGGAAAAAATTATTTTTATACACACAAATCTCTTTAAGAAGTACTAAACTTTGAGGGCAGCTAGGTGGCACAGTGGATAGAGCACTGGCCCTGGAGTCAGAAGGACCTGAGTTCAAATCAAGCCTCAGACACTTAGTAGCTAGCTGTGTGATCCTGGGCAAGTCACTTAACCCCCATTGCCTCTTCAAAAAAAAAAAAAGTACTAAACTTACATTTCCAAATTGTCAATATTGAATAACCATGCAACAGAGAAAAGGACTGAATATGTTCATTTTTCATCAAAGAAACAAAACATTTTCACATATATATGTGTATACACACACACACACATATACATACACATGTATTACAGAGGATTTTAACTGAACAATCATGGAAATTTCTACCAAGGTATATCCATTCTTGATAGCCATAAAGAAGCAGGTTCCACCTAGGATAAGCTGTGCTACCTTAAATTGGATATTTAGAAGGCTAAGAATGTGCTTGCTTATAATAGAAATTATATTGAAAAATACTAGCAAGTAATAGAAATGTGATTGGTAAAAAATTCATTGAAAAAGGCAAGCTAAGTATATTTTTAAAACCTGTGGATAGGTGAAGACTTCATGACAAAGAGGTAGGATCACACAAACAAAATGATTTTTTTAAAATTGTATCTTGCATGTAGGAATACCAATACCTGAATTTCTTGGTTATTTTTAAAAACTAAGGAACTATGGGTAGAGGAAGAGACATGCAACTTGAGTACAACAGTCGTAATTTTTATTTGACCAGAAAAATATATACAAAGATTAGAACCACTATAAAAGATCAGACAAAAAGGAATATTTGCTTCCTATTATTTACACAAGTCAATGATACTTTTTAGTATATTTTATATGTGTCAATTTTTCAGTTATCCACATCTTTTTCACATAATTAGAACAATAGTCTGCCAAGTTCAAACATTACCTGTGGAAATAATAAAGAAAATTACTACCAACTTAAAATTCTCTTCATTGATTACTAAGATTTATTACAAAGCAAATTCTAAAAATGAAGTTTATTTCAAAAGGCTATCATAGATGTCTTCTCTCTCAAGGCCTTTCCGTACAAGGTGGGTTTTGAGCTGGAGGAACAGGTATTTTCTGCTTGTTTTACTGTATCAAACTTGCACTATTTCACTAATAATGTTTTTAAAAATATTGGGAATGTTTAAATATAAATGGTACATTAGAGGCTGGAAAACATTAGTATACTCCTATACAAACCATGAAAGAGTTAAATCAAACGTTTTATTTCTTTTCTACATCAAAACACCTTTACAATTTTGGTCATACTTGGTTTGGTAAGACTCCTAAATGAAATTCGGAAAAACATGAAAGATACTGGTATAAATGTCCATAATAGAAAAAAAACAAAATGCGTGAAAACTTTAGTCCATTAATAAGTGCTACAGATGGATGATGAACTGGGGCTAGAATTGAATTGAAGGACAGAACTGAGATGACTTGCATTTGAAAGTGTGGGTCCTTAAGCTATTCACTGCTATTAAAAAAAAATTCTAGCATTTAACAATGTTATGTTTCTCAGTGATACTATATTGCTCCAAATTAAGGCAACACAATGATCTCAGAATTAAAATTACAAATAACCAAGTGAGGAAATAACAGGTACACAGTAGATAGATACACATTTTTTCAATGCCACTTGCATGTAAGTTGTGGAGTACAGAAATTTATCGAGGGAATATATGAACAGAAAAGGAAGTAAACCTGTTAGAGATAAAATAGGGAAAACTCTTTGAGTAGTATCCTTGAGAAAAAACATTCATTAAGTGCTTGCTATACCCCAAGAATTCTTGTAAACAAGGGTAAAAATAGTCCCTAATGTGAGAGACAACATGTAAATGACTATGCTTGTTCTACCCAGAACAGATGGAAGGCACTAACAGTTGGAACCCAGGAAGGTCTACAGAAGAATAGATTTAAGCTGGGTCTGAAAACCAAGATACTGAGAGGCAAGGAAGGAAAACAATCCAGGAATGGGGAACAGTCAGTGCAAAGGCATGGTGATAGGAGATGGAGAACCATGTATGAGGAACAGTGAACAAGACAGTATAGTTGGATTATAGAGTACAAGAGGGAAAGTAAACTAAAAAGACTGGAAAGGTAGGTAGTGGCCAGATCCTAATGAGCTTTAAGTGACAAGTTTTTATTTGATCCTGGAGGTATTTTGAAGTAAGTAAGAGTTATTTTGAATAGGAAGTGGGATGATATGGTCAGACTTAGGCTTTAGGAAAAACAGTTTGTCAGCTCAGAGAGACTTGAGGCAGGGAGACCAATTAGAAGGCTTTGACAGTTCAGGTAAGAAGTGATGAGGTCCTGAACTAGGGCAGTGGCTCTGCAGTAGAAGACGACACCTGACAGATACTGTGAAGGGAGAAAGATCTTACAATGGACTGGATATATGGGGTGAGAGAGTGGTGAATGAAGGATGACACTGAGGTTATGAACCTAGGTGAATAGGAAAGTGGTAGTGTTTACCACACTAAGAGGGGAGTTCAGAAGAGAAGAGGTGTTAGGTTTTTTTGGTGTGTGTGTGTGTGTGTGTGTGTGTGTGTGTGTGTGAGAGAGTGAGAGAGAGAGAATGAATTCTCTAGCCAATTTGAGTTTAAGAAGCCTATCAGTTAAGTACTTCAAGATGTCCCTGAGACAGTTGTTGAATGCACACTGAAGATAAAGGGCTCCAGAATTTTGCTTTCAAAAAACTGGCAATTTTATGGGAAAATATGGACACCACCCTTGAGAAGATGCTGTGGATGGACTTAAAATTTGCATTATTGGAGAAAAGTACTCAATGCATAAGAAATTGCAAATCCTTCAGATTAAAAAAATATGGTGGAAATGATTGTCATCAAAATTCCCTGTTTACCTCAATGGTGATAAGTATAACAATCATCCATTCTAGGCGGAGTGCCCGCTTTTCATTGAGGTGATTTCTCATCAGGTCTGTTAGTTCCATGCAGTGTTGAAGCTTCTCATTCATTACCTATGAAAAGAAAAAAATCTGTATAGAGCTCAGAATGAAAAAATACATGAAACAGGGCACATGTTGAAGTGCTTATCTTTCTTTTTGAAATCTCTCAAAGGTCTAAAGATGAAGTTTAGGGGCTGAAACTGATTTACTAATATAAAGAACTCCCACATTAAAAAACTCCCTGACCAATGCAGGTCAACATTTTCTTTGCAACTTACAGTTTTAGTTGTCTATCAGAGATTAAATGACTTGCCTACAATCACAAAGCCAATATGTGTCACAGATAAGACTTAAAACTAGGTTTTCCTGGCTTTGAGGCCAGCTCTGTATTCACTTGTACCTTGCTGCCACTCAGTAGCCTTCATAACAATTCATATGTATACAGTTCTTTATTAAGCATTTTCCTCAACTTTTCAAAGCAGGTGGTATAATATTCTCACTTTACAAATGAAAAAACAGGCTCAGGCCTTCTGACCTTAAATGCTTTTTTTTTTTTTAAGGCAGTTGGGGTTAAGTAACTTGCCTAGGGTCACACAGCTAGTAAGTGTCAAGTGTTTGGTCTGAGGTCGGATTTGAACTCAGGTCCTCCTGACTTCAAGGCCGGTGCTCTATCCATTGTGCCACCTGGCTACCCCAAATGCTGTTTTCTTTAGACTACTTTTCAGATATTTGCCCTCTTGTTAATTCTAATATTCATCATGTACATTCTTTTCAAGATAAAAAATCCTACAAATGTGAAACATTACATCCTGTAGCCACCTCATCTATTATGAAAAGGAACTTAAAAATAAAAGAAAGGAAATCCTCTGGCTCCCGCATCACTATGAAGTCTGTTAACTTAAAAATCTGAACTGCTATGAATTCAACACTAGATGGCACTACTTAAAATTCTAAATTAGGAGCACTTTTGAGTCCAAAATGGTGCTTTCCAAGAATGAAGCGGAATTTGTGAATTCATTCAAAAAGATAAACATTACTTATTTCTTCAGTTTCAAGTACTCTAGAAAGGGCCCTATCTAAATTGTTACTTGTATTCTGCAAGAATGTCATTGTTTTCTCTTGCTTCCACTTTAATTCTTTGAAATCAGTGTGGTATATCCCTTTATTAATCATGTCATGGTGCAAAAAAAAAAAAGCACTATTCAAATCCAAAGATTTAAATTTAGAAATAACATATGAAAAATTCGCTATTAGAGCCACATGATTCTGTATTAATATTTTATTGTAATGATATTGAGGTCAATGACAGATCAGAGTAACAAACTATCAGGAAGGTATGTTTAAAAGTCTGCCTCCACTGTTACTGTTGCTTCCACTGCAGAGGACAATTAACAAGGTTCTTCACACCTGCTAAAACCTCATCCCCCCTAACATTATGACATAATCAAAACTGACAACCTGATTGCAGGATTTTTATATAACATGCAATTCAGACATAAATTTGTATAGCTATCTCCCACCTTTTTAGCCCCATTACCAGATGTTAACTTCTAAAGCAAAGTTTAGTTACTTCTTTAGACTGAAGCAATGCCTATAAGTACCACTTCAGGATTGTAGCACCGCAAGAGAAGAAAGAGGGAAGGAGCAAAAAAAGCAAAGAAGTGAAGAAGAGGAAAAGATACATGTTACAAGGAGTTATTGATACTTGTTTTGGTGCCAATATAAAGCCACAGGTCCTACATGTAATGCCTTATACATATGTTTATTTGTATACTATATTATAAATTGCTCATTATACATATGACATATAAAATGTATATGTATGTTATACGTGTGTATATGTATATAAATGGATATGGCCAACATGGACATTTGTTTTGACTGTGTTTTACACATGTTTACAATAGGGGTTTTGTTTTTCTTTCATTCTGGGGAAGGCAGGAAGAGGGAGGCAAATTTCTGCTGACTGAAGAAACTTTAAAAAAAGTGTTTAGGAAGTATTACTAAGTATTAAAGAATAGACAGATGCTAAATAAAAAATGCAGAGAATAGAATCTTTTAAATATTAGAAAAATAAACTCTACAGGTAGAAAGGAGAACTCTTAGGGAATGTATTGGGTGAGAAAGTACAATGGAAACCACTGTTTTCATGCATATTCCATAAGACAATATTGGATGAGATAAGTTACATCAAAAAAGGCATATAAAATCAAATAAAATTCACAGTGGTGTGGCCATTCTGTCTAAGGCAAGGCTTTATTTCTCATAGTTGAATATCTTCTATGCCCATAAGCCTTACCTGTTATTTCTTTCCATCTGCTATACTTTTTGCTTTCTTGTCATTTTGAAAAAATTACCTTGTGCCTACTACTAATTTTAAGGAAAAATGGATATCTCTTCTAGCTTACATTTTACATGAGTCCCCTATCTTGTATCCCTCAAACATTCCTACCTCTCTTTTAGTTGTCCTTCCCAATTCCTAACACAGAATTGAGTAAACACTTGCAGGATTAATTAGTAATTTTATTATTAGTAAAAGATGATTTAAATGAATCTTGAGTATCTTTTTGAGTACTGAGTATCTGGAGATGTGAGATTAGAAGTCAGTAAGGAGACTAGGGCAGGACAGGTAGATTTGGAAATCATTAGCATAGAGATCATGATTAAATCCATGGGAGCTGATGAGAATCCTGCAGGACACCTACGTTTAGGGGACATGATCTGGATGAGGACTGGGCAAAGAAGTTGTCAGATGTGAAGGAGGAGAAGTAAGATGCTGTTCTGACAATCTAGGGAGAAGACAGTATAAAGGAAGAGACTTCATCAACATTGTCCAAGGCTGCACATAGGTGGAGAATGAGGATTGAGAAAAGCCTAATGGATTTGGCAATTAAGAGATCAGTTAACTTTGGAGAGGGCAATTTCAGTGGAACGATAAAAGTTGGAAGCTGGAATGTAGGAGATTTAGAAGAGAGTGAGAGAAGAAAAAGGGAAGGCACCTATTATGGACAAGAATGGAATCAGTCATATCACGGTTCCATCTTCTTAGTGCACATAAATCAAAGTTAATATTATATGGGGTAGGAATGATTAGGCAGAAGTCAGAAAAAATTTTTTTTAGACTGAACCTGTGATTTTGCTGGTGTCAGGAACTTACAGTGAGAAGATTTCCTCTACCAATGCAAACTGATAACTCCCATAATTTATAGTCTTAAAAAGTTGCTTGAGACAAACAAGGTCAGGGGGGCGGAGCCAAGATGGCGGAGTGAGACAAACAAGGGCAACTGACTTGTCCAGGGTCACACAGCCAATGTGTCAGAAATGAGACTAGAATACAAGTATTTGTGATTCTGAGACTCTCTCTATCCACTATATCATATTGCCTCTAAGAAATAACAATAACCATGCCAAATGGATTTCCCTTTTCATACTGTTATAAATAGTTATGGACAAAAAGGTTGCTTCTATTTTTTTTTTCTGGAAAGAACAGAAGACCTACCTTAACTCTACGAGTAATGCTAAGGAACTGACAAGTTTTATCATAAAGTGCCTCCAAGTTTTCTCTATCCCAGTAGAAATCAGGGGTCATCAGGAAGTCTGAACTTAAATTTATACGGTGTCTGTAAAAAAGCAAAAGTATAAATGTTTTTACTCCTATAGGTTAAGCTTAAATTTTTAGATAATAAAATTATATTAGAATTTAAGTGTTTTAGTAGTTGAATTAAAATCAATGTAAAAACTTCTGCTCATGCCATTATGCTAATATACTTATTTTACTGTTACATTTTTATAAAAAATTTAACTTGTATAGGTCTTTTATTTTACATCATTTTCATTTCCAAATATATTTCTTCCACAGCCAAAGCAGTTCAAAAAAATGAACTTATCAAATGTAACAGTATGTATAATATAGGAGGAAGGTATGTTGGTATGCATAATTTTAAAACTTAAATTACTTGGGTGAGTTTTCTGTTCATCTAACACTGGCTTCTTCTGACAATAATCAGTTTCCCCACTCACTGTAATTATTTTCTTTTGAAAAAAATTTTACTTGAATTTTATTCTTGAGAATTTCCTATCCCTACTGGGCTCACTTGCAGAAATTCAGTTCATGAGATCCTATCTACTCTCCCTCTGAGCCCTTTGAAATCTGCTCTCCCAAAATTTAAGGTGCAGAAGAAACTATACTTAATTTTCCTCTTCTCTATCACAACTCTAGGAGACAGTGGTAATATAATTTCTAACTCATCAACTGGTTTCTCCATTTCAGTGAGAACTAGACCTAGAATAAAATTTTCTCCTGTTTCCTCCACCTTTTATAGGATGTAATCATTTCAGTAAATCAAGAAATTATGAGCTCCTCTGCTACTGAAAAGCTCCAGACGGTATCTAGATAACTAAAGTTCCCCGTCACAGTTGTATAAAAATTAGGATTTATTCCCCCAAAGCATGAAAATTGATTTAACTGCCCTACATATTTGTGTTTCTGAGAAAGAAAGGGTTTTTTGTTTGTTTATGGTTATTATGAAAATAGCTAGTTAACATAATAAATGTGGCATTTAAAAAAAACCCTTTCATGTATTTTAGAAATATTTCAACATAAGAGATGTTTAAAAGAAATCTTTTACCTTAATGAAAAAAGTTCTCCCATTTTCTGCATAACTTCTTCATGAGAAAGTTTTACTTTTTTTCCAGCTTTTAAAGCCTAGAGAAAAATAGGAATTTGATACATGATTTAGGTTGACTTCTAATTTTAAATTAAGCCTCACAAGATGTTGCAGAGTTCTGATTTACTATCATTAAGATGTTACATACATGACTGTTTTTAGTTGTATATCATCACTACCCTCATAAGGCTTTAAAAATCTCATTATGCAAGCACTTCTATGTTCATCTTCACCCCATCATTTCCTCTGAAACACTAGCTTCATCTCCTCTTGTAGAGAGACTGTGGCTTCTTACCTCATCTCTTAGGCATAACTGAAAAATCTTTTCACCTTAAAAATAAGGTCAAGAAATAAAAATTAAGTATTAATGACATTAAAATATTCTTTTGTGAAACTTTTCCTGTCATACTATTTAACTCTAATCACAGTTTGGCAAAATATTTGCACAACAGCAAATAATTTCCAGCATTTTTAATTGGAGGCTTGGGATAACTATTTTCTTGGAGACAGGAAATATTTTCTCACTGTTTTTTGCCAAATTTTGCGATCTTAATTGCCTCAAAATCTCAATAGAAGTATTTGTCTGAATTTTAAACTCAAACTAAAAAAAAAACCATCATGGTGCTTATTCTCTATTGCTGTACCCTGTTCCACCTGAACTAAGAGAAGGAGAGCTGGGAGACTGGGGTACCTGTGTGTATAATTTTCCTGGTATTTATCACTGTTTTATTTTGTTGGCTGGTCAATTAAAACTTTTTAAAATGTCCTCTCAAATAAGATTGATTCCTTTTTACTTGAAAAATATATAGAGAGTTGACATAAATTTTTACCTCTGGAATTGACTGAATAGACTCAACAAAATCATCCAGTGATGCTTCCCAAATAGCCAGTTTAACTGAGGAAGAAATTTTTAAAAAGAATAGTTTTTATACCTTTAAAATTCAAATACAATAAACATTTATTAAGTTTTTAGCGTGTACATAACATACAACCAACAAACATTTAAGGGCGTATTATGTGCAAGAACTCTTCCAAGTACATAGGGAAAAGAAACAGTTCCTGCTCTTAAAAAATTTATGGTCTAATAGTGAGCTCTATTAGGAAGGGAGAACAAGAACGAAGCTACAATCATTATCCTTGTCCTCATGAAAGTTGCAGTCATTTAGGAGGGCATAAAAGAACATAACAATTTTTTGTATAATAAAAATAATATATAAGTTTATGAGAGGTATAAGAAGGGTACTTTTTTCAGGGAAAACATCATTACTGGGAAGGTTTCTTGACTGGGCAGGAATTTAACAAAGAGGGGAAGGACATTCCAAGCAGAGGGTAAAGTGAGCTAAGGCACACAGGCAGGAAGACATTGGGCATATATGGAGTACAATTAATAGTATGGTTTATTTAGAGCATATAGCATATGTAGAAGGATAGTATAAAATGATCTTGAAATGGTAAGAGGTACCAGATAGTGAAAGACCTTGAATGCTAGGCTAGGCAGATTAGAATTTACTCAGTTACTTTCATGGCCATGTTTTTAAAGATATCTAGATATCTAACTAGATATAGTATCTAATACCATTGATAAAGAAGGGCATTAGAAGATCAGTGCTATCAACCTGAAGCCCTGACATCTGGACTCCAAGCAGGACATCCTTTTCTTGGTGAACATCACATGAGCACACTTCTCCTGCTTTATGCTCCATGTGCTGTTAGTACTTAGTGAGTTGATAGAACCACTGTAATAGTAACTAGAATGACTGGCTTCAAATCAGGAAGAAGTGTGTTTACATCTTATTTCTGATACTGTGTAACCCTGGGAAAGTTATCTCTCTGAAACTTAGTTTCCTCATCTGTAAAATAGGAATAAAACTTGTAGTATGTATCTCAAAGGGTTGTTGTGAGGCTTGAGGTAATTGTAAAGCACTCTATAAACTTTAAAAGCAGTACATAAATGTCAGTTATTACGGCTGTTATAAAGTCTGTCTTGCAGTCAAAGCTGTTACAGAATTCCGTATTTTGACATCTGTATATGCAACAGTTGGAGGAGGTCTTCTAAGCTGTCTTGTTCAACCAAGTCTTATACTTGACTTAAAAAAAAAAAAGTTGATGGGGCAGCTAGGTGGTGCAGTGGATAGAGCACCGGCCTTGAAGTCAGGAGAACCTGAGTTCAGATCCAACCTCAGACACTTGATAGTTACCAGCTGTGTGACCCTGGGCAAGTCATTTATCCCTAATTACCTCACCAAAAAAAAAAAAAGGTGATGACTGATACAATAGGCTTATATCGTTTAGTCAGCTGTATGATTGCAAAGATGCGGTTTACTATAGAAAATCACTTGTAAAAACCTGTCTATTATGTTTCCATATTCTGAAACATATAGGCCATTTTCATCAAAACTTTTATAGAGGTGATAAAGTAGATACATGGATTGAAAGTTACTGATGACTTGGTTGCTTTATTAGGGAAAAGCACAAGCTGACATCTTTGCCATTCTTTTGGGAAATCTGCTCTTTGATATACCTTGAAAAGCTATCTCTGGGTGTCCATACAACTATGCTACCTCCAGCATGGATGCCTTCTGTATATATTTACTAGGATGCAGGCAACTCTGCTTGACTTCATCTTACCAGGCACTGCCACATTTTTATATAGTAGAAGTGAAAGATATAAATGTGGTATTTCTAATACTATCAACAATGATAATCTTTGGGGCAGCTAGGTGGTACAGTGGATAGAACACTGGCCCTGCATTCAGGAGGACCTGAGTTCAAATTCAGACTCAAGACACACAAAACTTACTAGCTGTGTGACCCTGGGCAAGTCACTTAACCCCCTGCCTAGCCAAAAATAATAATAATAATAATAATAAATTAAATTAAACAATGATAATCGTTTACTGAAGGAACGCTGATGAACAGCCAAACGATGGCAGCACAAGGAGCATCTGGAAAATGGCAGTGGAAAGAAAAGCATGTGCAGACTCCTTCTCCAGGACCAGCATGTTGGGGGACACGAAAGAAGTGGAAACCAGTATAGGAATGGATGGCTAGAGTTAGAGTACATTTCTGGAAGGAACCATGTTGTAGAAAGAGTTGACTTTGAAGCCAGGAGACATGGTCAGACTTGTGCTTTAGAAATACCAATTTGGCAGCTTTTTAGACTGGAGAGGAGAGATCAATTACAAAGCTATTTTCTTAGTCAAAGTGAGAAGTGAGGTTTACTAACATGATTGTAATAAGACAGGGATGTGAAAGATATCGTAGAGGTAGAATCACCAAGCTCTGTTAAGTGTCTGGATGTGTAATGTAAGTGAGAGTAAAGAGCTCCAAAGGACTCCTATGTTTCAAACTTTGATAACATGAAATATTCATGTCTTCAAGAGAAACAGTGAAGAAGGATAAGATTAGGGAAAAAAGATAAAGTCAGTTTTAAATGTGTTGAGTTGAAGGTATCCAGTAGTCTGTTGGAGGTCAATCTGGGAGTCATCTCTATAAAGATGACACCTGATTCCATGGAAGCTAATGAGACTGGAGGAGAGGGAGAGGAAAGAGCTCAGGACACAGCTCTGGGTACATTCACATTAAGAGGTGGGGCATGGATGATAGTCCTGGTAAAGGAGACTGGGGAAGATGGGCCATACAGGCAGGAAGAGAACCAGAACAGAACAGTGTCACAAACACCCAGGGAGACCATAGTTTCCAGAAGAAGGGGTGGTCAACAGTGTCACATGCTGAGGAGAGGTCAGATGTTTGAACTTAGCAATAAAGACATCAGTGGCAACCTTGGAGAGGGCAGTTTTAGTCACCTTTCAACTCTACAACTCAACTCATTTACCTTACTTTTTGCCACCCTGTCTTAGATTACCTAAACATCAGACATCTAGCCCTTCCTTACCTCTCCAACCCAGCCCAGAATCTGTGCTCTCACAAATGAAAATAAACCAATTCATCCTGTAATTTACTGGCCTCTTGAGGTGACCCCCTGCCAATCAAGGGAAACGTCATTCTCTCTTCTGATTCCAGCAATACAGAATCCTGAGGCGCGCTTTTCCTTGCCGCTACTTTTCATTCTCCTTTACCCTGAACACTTCAATCTTACCCCCACCCCCAAATGAGTTTTATTTGCCCTGCCCAGTATGTTCCCTGGAATCTTCTTTCTATCATTAAAATTCCTTTCATTTTGGAACTTTCTTTCTACTCCTTCAGTTTTCTAACACCCACAGACCTGGTTCCTCCCAGGAAAGCACTTTATCTCTAGCCATCCATTCCCATACTAGTTGTCGCTTCTGTTGTGTCCCCCAACGTGCTGGTCCTGGAGAAGGAGTCTGCACATGCTTTTCTTTGCACTGTCATTTATCAGACACTCCTTGTGCTACCATCATTTGGTAACTGCTTCTCTCACAAGATTCATTCTATTCTGATATATCACCCTAATCAAGACCCGGTGCCATTTATCTATTGCATCATTCTTCTTTCTCTAGAACTTAAGTACTTGGCTTACAAGTACTTACTTCCTCTACTTCCCAAAATCATGCCCTTCCACTTGGGAACTTCAGTTTCTATGTCAATGTTCTCTAAAATACCCTAGTCTCCTAGTTCCTTTCTCCTTAACTACCAAGACTTACTCCTGCACTTCATTTCAGCCACCTGAAAGATGGTCACATCTTTAATCTTTCCACCACTCAACTCAGTTCTACCTCCATGATTATGAATTCTGAAATACCTTGATATGATCACAATCTTCTATTATTCCATCTCTCCCTATGCCTCATTCCTTCTAAACTTATTCATCCTCAACTTGACCTCCAGTCCCTCCAAATTCTTCTAGTATCTCTGTTATGATTTGGAATGCTGGGAGCCCCGAAATGCAAGGGTATGGGGGTCTGTCTTGAAAGACTTCAATCACTCAAACCTTCTTTCAGTAAAAACAGTGAGGTTTATTTGTGACACCAACAGAAGCAGGATAGATCCTAAGGGAATCTGAGCAATTTAATAGGGGTAAAATTGGTACTTATATGCAAGAAAAGACAGTGAGAAGATCTGGATGGGGTTAAGAAGTGGTTACGGGTGAGAGGCAGGGGGCCAAAAGGGGGGGGAGGGGTTGGCGTGCAGGCCAGGTGCAGACAATGAAAGGAATTAAGTGGTGAGAGAGCCACAGTGAAAAGACAGAAGGATTACTGAGTATCTAAGTAGGTTAGGATGGGCCAGATGCCTCAGTGATTGATAAATCTTATAAGGAAAGATCCTCCACATCTCCTGTATTACTCTAAACATTGAGCTATAAGCCAGAGTGCGGTTATCTATGTTGACCTGAGAATTTAGCCAGTTCTCAGCAAAAGATGTGCTCTGGGAACCTGGCCAGTTCATCAGAACATATCAAGTTAATTAATATTCTAATATGTTTTGCTTGTTCCAGGAACCTGGCCAGTTCCTGGACCAAGTAAAAACATCTACCAGAATCACGGACACCTCTGGCACGGCGCCTTCTTTGTTAGAGGTCCTATTTAAATCCTAACTGGGAAAGCCATCTTTGGATTCTCACCCATGGAGAGGATGCTCTGCCTGAAACTTTTCCAATCAGGACCCGGTAAGTTGTAACCCAGAACCCCTAGCTTGGACTTCAGGTATTGGTGCTTCCTCAAATTGGTGATGTTTTCTTATATTATTGCTATCCTTTATACTCTTAGCCTGACTATAGTCATATTGCTAATTATATGTTGCTGTAAATCTAGCTTTTCTATACCTATATTATAATCTTAATTAAAGCTACCTTCACTTCTCCCTCTAGGAGTGTGTTTTATTGTAGGAGTGAATCCGAACCACATTTTTCTTCCTTAATCACACACTCAGGTGAAATACCAGTGTGGGAAAGTTCAGGGCAAAGACATGGTCTTTTCCCTTTAGGGGTCCAGGTCCCATCACTCCATCATATCAATCCTCTACTGTGGCTTACTTTTCTTCCTTTCCCATTCCTGATTCTATTGTTAACTAGCTCAATTTTATAGTCTCTTAAATTTTCAAATCTCTTGACCCTCTGTCCTACTATTTTTTTTCTCAAACTGTTGCCAAACACTAACCCTAGATTCCTCTTACCATCTATCTCTTTCACTATTTACTTGCTGCTAAAGAGAGCTGGAGAAAGTCAGGAAATTATACTGATTGGTTCCACTATATATTTATATTATCTCAAAAGGGTCCTCACTTTTTACTCCTCTCTAATTGATTATCATATTCCCCACTGTAGTTCTTACAAACCTCCTCTTTTCTTCTTAAGCTTCCTACACTTCCCCTTTCCATTACTACTAGACCAACCTCATGCAATACTGACAAGACTACTCATCCTGAGTGCCCTCTTTCCCCTTTCTCTATGGTTCAAAACTCCTTGACATCTCTTTTCCATACTTTACTCCAATTTCTAATGAAGCTATGGCCCTCTCCTTATCAAAGCCAACCTTTTTTGTACACCCTCCCCTTTTTTTAAAAGCTGGAACAATTTACTTTTTTGTCCTGTGCAGTTTTCATTTATGATTTCTTGAAATATAGCTCTGAAAAAACAGGCTTTAAAAAAGCCCACTGTATTTCAAATGGAGCTACTTGACTCTGTCTTTAAACCCAAATCACGCTGACTTTCATTGAATGGGCAACAATAGCCCCTAGTCCAAGCCTCACTGTTTAGGTTTTGATAGCCAAGGTGAGTCTAAATAGCATTTGTTTTCTGTTCAGGCCAGAAACTTTGAGGGTCTCCCCCCACCAGAATGATATTTTTGTGATGGTAAATTAGGCCATCTTTTGCCTTAATTCTTACCTAGCCATTATCATTGAATAGGCATTACCCCAGGCAAACTGAGATCTAGGAAAGACCTTAATTCAGAAAGGCCAAGGTCACCCACTGCATTCCATGCAATTTCCAGTCGTCTTGGCTTTTGTTTTGCCACTGGACTTCCAAGGTCTCTGGAGAAGAAAGTGAGGCTGAAGACTCATGTACAAGTCAAGACATCACCCTGGGCCTCTTAGTAAATGAAAAACAGTGAGATTTCATCCTCTGTCTCTTCTAGCAGATTGCTTCCACAGTTATCCCTTCCCTCTCACTAATTTTTAATCTCTCCCTATCTATCTAGCTCAATTCCTCATTGCCTATAAACATGCTCAATTTCTACCAGCCTTAAAAAAACCCTGAGTTGACCTTAGTATTCCCTCAAACTCTGGCCCTCTATCTCCCTTCCCTTTTATAGCCAAGCTCTAAAGAAAAAGCTGTTTTTACTCAGTGTTTCTCTCCTTTCACTCACTTCTTAATCTGGCTTCTGACTTGATCATTCAAATGAAACTGATTTGTCCAAAGTCACCAATAATAAACCTCACCTAAATAAAACTGGAGAACTGAATTCAGTAAATACAGCTGTCTCATGTAGTATGATAAAAATAGGTCTGTATCTGCATTTCAGGTCATATGTTACAATAACACTATCTAAATTAAAAAACAACAAAAACCCTCATCAAAAGTCCTGGAAGAAATAGTGATTAGAGTGCTAGGGAGAATTGGGTTCAAATCCCACCTTAGACACTGGCTTTACTGCACCGAGCAAGTAACTTTACCTCTCTTTCAGTCAGTTTCCTACCCTTTTTTTTGGCTATTTTTTTAAATTAAAATTCATTTATTTATTTTTAGTTTTCAACATTCACTTCCATAAACTTTTAAGTTTTAAATTTTCTCCACCTCCTTCTCATCCCCTCTCCCCAAGATGGCATGCAATCTGATATAGGCTCTACATATACATTCTTATTAAATTCATTTTCACATTAGTCATGTTGTAAAGAAGAATTAGAACTAATGGGAAGAACCATGAGAAAGAAGAAACAAAACAGCAACTAAAAAAAGAGCAAATAGTATGTTTCGATCTGCATTCAAACTCCATAGTTTTTTCTCTGGATGTGGATAGCATTTTCCATCATGAGTCCTTTGGAATTGTCTTAGATCCTTGAGTTGCTGAGAGGAGCTAAGTCTCTCAAAGTTGGTCATCGCACGATGTTGCTGTTACTGTGTACAGTGTTCTCCTGGTTCTGCTCACTTCACTCAGCATTGGTTCCTATAAGTCCTTCCAGGCTTTTCTGAAGTCTGCCTGTTCATCATTTCTTATAGCATAACAGTATTCCATTACATTCATATATCACAACTTGTTCAGCCATTCCTCAATTGATGGACATCCCCTCAATTTCCAATTCTTTGCCACCACAGAAAAAACTGCTATAAATATTTTTTTACATGTGAGTCTTTTTCCCATTTTTATGATCTCTCTGGGATACAGCCCTAGAAGTGGTATTGTTGGATCAAAGGGCATGCACATTTTTATAGCCCTTTGGGCATAGTTCCAAATTGCTCTCCAAAATGGTTGGATCAGTTCACAACTCCACCAATAATGCATTAGTGTTCCAATTTTCCCACATCTTCTCCAGTATTTATAATTTTCCTGTTTTGTCATGTTGGCCAATCTGGTAGGTGTGATGTGGTACCTCAAAGTTGTTTTTGGTTTGCATTTTTCTAATCAATAGTGATTTAGAGCATTTTTTCATATGATTATAGATGGCTTTAATTTCTTCATCTAGCCTATTCATATCTTTAGACCATTTAACAATTGGGGAATGACTTGTATCTTATAAATTGGTTTCCTAATCTTAAGATGGGGATAATGACAGCACCTAACTCATAATGTTATTAGATCAGAAGAGATAACATCTGAAGTGCTTTGCAAACCTTAAAGCACTATATATAAATACACTAGCTATTATTATGATGTATACATTAAATGAACTTTAGAATTTCCTGAAGACCAAAAACCTAAGCAGACTGAAAGGTTTTTCATAACAAAAAATGGTATAACTGGGGCAGCTAGGTGGTGCAGTGGATAGAGCACTGGCCTTGGAGTTGGGAGGGCCTGAGGTCAAATCCAGCCTCACACCAAACATTTGACTACTAGTTATGTGACCCCGGGCAAGTCACTTAACCTTGATTGCCTAAAAAAAATGTTATCACCAAAATTAAAAGAAAAGAAATAAACTGGGAAAAAGTATTTGTAATAAATATATCAGATAAAGGTCTGACATCCAGAATCTATAACACAGATCTAATAAGATTAATAATATACAATCCCTAATAGAACAGCAGTTAAAGGAGCTGATAATTTGGAGTGAGGTTTTTTTCAGTTTTTGATTTTTAAGAACTCTGACCTTAACAAACATCAACAAAAATGACTACTACCATATAAACAACAGAACAAGAAGGGATGGGTGTATATGAAACTGCAAAACTATTATGTCTAGCTTGCTTTTCTGTGTAAGTATATATCATAAATTCAACATGTTACTTTCAGAGTTGTCCTGCTTATTTGTGATTTCTTCTGGCCTTCAGGAACACATTTTTTTTGGAGAAAATAATAAATTTTTAAAAACCATATGAAAATATGCTTAAAGTCCCTCATAATATAATGAATACAAATCAAAACTAACAGGAATTAACTTGGAATTAGATGCTGGTAGAGTTTAAGGGAAATAGGAATGCTAAATCAAAGTATCTACATGAAAAAATGCTATAACAAAAATATTTATAGCAGCTCTTTTTGTGGGGCCAAGAACTGGAACTTGAGGGGATGCCAATCAATTGTGGAACTGCTGAACAAGTTGTGGTATATGAATGTAATAGAATACTATTGTTCCATAAGAAATGATGAGCAGGTGGTCTTCAGAATAACCTGGAAAGACTCACATGAACTGATGCTGAGGGAAGTCGACAGAACCAGGAGAACATCGTACACACTAACAGCAACATTGTGCGATGACCAACTTTGATAGACTTAACTCTTCTCAGCAATACAGGGATCTACGACAATTCCAAAAGACTCATGATGGAAAATGCCATCCACATCTAGAGAAAGAACTATGGAGTCTAAATTCAGATTGAAGCATACAATTTTATCTTTTTTTTTTGTTTCTTCTTTTTCCCTTTGGTTCTAATTCTTCTTTACAACACGACAAATGTGGAAATATGTTTAATATGATTACACATGTATAGCCTATATCAGACTGCATGTCATCTTGGAAGGAGGGAGTGGAGGGAGAGGAGAAAATTTAGAACTCAAATCTTATAGACGTGAATGTCGAAGACTAAAAACAAACAAATAAATAAAACTATAAAAAACTGTAAAGTATTATTGATTAGAGAAATGCAAACTAAAACGACACTGAAATACTACCTCACACCTATTAGGGTGGCTAATATGACAGAAAAAGAAATGATAAATGTTGGAGGGAATGTGGAAAAACTGAGACAGTAATGCACTGTTGGTCAAATTGTTAACTGATCCAGCTATTCCAGAGAGCAATATGGAACTATGCCCAAAGGGCTATAAAACCGCATATCCTTTGATTTAGCAATACCACTATTAGGTCTGTATCCCAAAGAGATTTAAAAAAAAAAAAGGAAAAGGACCTATTTGTACAAAAATACTCACAACACCTCTTTCAGTGGTGGCAAAGAATTAGAAATTGAGGGGATCCCCATCAACTGGGAAGTGGCTGAACAAATTGTGATATATGAATATAATGGAATACTATTGTGATAAGAAATCATGAGCAGGCAGATTTCAAAATATTCTGGAAAGACTTACATGAACGGATGCAAACTGAAGTGAGCAGAACCAGGAGAACATTGTACACAGTAACAACAATACTGTATGACAATCAACTGTTAATGATTTAGCTATTCTCAGCGATGCAATGATCCAAGATAATTCCAAAGGACTCACGATGAAAAATGCTATCCACCTCCAGACAAAGAACTGATGAAGTCTGAAAGCAGTTGAAGCATGGTATTTTTCACTTTTTTGGGGGGGGAGTAGTGGGGGGATTTAATCTGTGTCTTCTTTCACAACATAACTAATATGGAAATAAGTATTGTATGACTGCACATGTATATCAAACTGTTTCCTGTCTCAAGGAGGGGTGGAAGAGAAAGAGAATCTGGAACTCAAAATTTTAAAAAATGAATGTTAAAAAATATCTTTACATGTGATTAGGAAAAAATATTATTAAAATAGGAATACTATCACATTGTTGGTAAGACAGTAGTATGGTACAGGCATTTTGGAAAGCAATAGAGCAATACTAGTCATAAAACTGATCATATCTTTCCAAACAATGCTTCAAGTCCAGATTTCCCCTTCCTCCCAAAAAGAAATAAAAGGAAAAGATTACCTAGTTGTACAAATAAGATTAACAGTATTCCCTTTGTAATAACAGCAAAAAATTATAATATCTCTATGTCTAATAATCACAGAAAATCTGATAAATGGTATATTAATGTAATGAAATATGATGGTATTGTAAAAAGCAATAAATATGAAATAAAAGGGGAAATACTGCAAGACCTATAGGAAGTGATGGAAATCTAGATCATCAGAGTTCGAAACATACACAGTGACAAGAATTAAATTTTAAAATATTTTCTAAAGAACAAAATGGGTAGCACAATAGACCTAGAAGAGGGCACAGAACAAAAACTTTTGTTGGTTATTCATTTGGTTCTAAATTATAAAATGCAGGCATTATGTAAGATTTTTGCTCCTTAGTCTGGAAATTTAACGTATTATTTGTTTCTGTAGTTCAGTGCTTCTTAAACTGTGGGTCTTGACCCCACATGGCAGCAGTAAAAGGTTTCTTAACACACAGTGACCAAAAATTAATTAAAAATCAAATGCATAATGAATCCAAGGTGTTTCTGGCAGTGCTTTCCCATGATGCATCGTGCAACTTTACTGCAGCCTTGGTTTGGAACACAAAGCATGCTCGTGTTACACTGCACATGCCCTCAGGCCATGCAATGCCAATGAACACTGCTAAAACAGGAAGCCCTGGGTTAAATTAATCTGTGAAAATGTGTCAATCTTTTCTATTAATTTATAAACTCTTAATGACCACTAACAAGCTGTGAAACACACTAAACTGAGAAATAACAGCTTACCTGAAAGGCAAAGGGCATTTGAAAAGGCAAATTTCTCCAATATGATTTCATCTAGGTCCAATTCTGAATTTAACCTGATTTCCCCTCTATGAAGTTTTGACTGACCCCTATGAAAAGGAAAATAGAAAAATAAACAAATCCTATATTAGAAATCCCTTTACAAATCTTTCTTATTAAAAACTATTTACATTATATAGGGATGTAGGTACATGAATTAGTAGGCTACAACTATCTTTAAGGAGGCAGGTGGTGGCACAGTTGAGAGAGCCCCCGCAGGGAGAAAACCCATGAAAATCTGGTTGCTGACATTTTCAACCTGTAGGACTCTGGGTAAGTCACTTAACCTATGTCAGCCTCAAGTTTCTTCATCTGTACAACAGGCATCATAATAAGTAGCACCTAGCTCCCAGGGTTGTTGAGAGGATAAAATAAGATAATATCTACTTGTAATATCATTGACAAACCTTAAAGCACTATATAAATGCTTTTGTTGTCCTTTAGTCATGTCTGACTCTTCGTGACCCCATATGGGATTTTCTTGGCACAGATACTGAAGTGGTTTGCCATCTCCTTCTCCAGCTCATTTTACAAAGGAAGAAACTGAGACAAACAAGGTTAAGTGTCATACAGGGTCATACAGCTAGTGTATGAAGTAGGATTTGAGCTCAGGTCCTCCTGACTCCAAAGCCAATGTTGTTCTATCCACTGAAACCACCTAGCTGCCTTTATAATAAAGGCTATTTATAATTATTATGTGAATAAAGAATTGTATACTTATCCAAGTACTAAAGTGTATAACTGTGAATTAAGATAGATTTAACACACGTCTATAGTTTCTGAAATCAAGTAGAACTCTGAAGCATAACATTTTTAAAAAATCTCTATAAAATAGTTTGATGCTTATTAAATGTCCAATATTCTCCTGATTCATATTATTTAGATGACATTTTTAGTTAAATGGACTTTACTAATACTTAAGAACACTTCACCTATTAAAATTTTTAAAAGTTCTATCACAGATATATTTAAAGGATGTAACAGTTCTCAAAAGAATTGTAAACTGTTAATGATCATATGAAACACTGCTCCAAATCACTAATAAGAAAAGATACAAAAATGAAAATAGCTCTGAGGTTTTATCTGCTATCCAGAAAATTGGCAAAAATTACAAAATATAGGAATAGTCAGTGTTGAAGGAGTTAAGGAACCACAGGCAAGCTACATAACTACTGGTGGAAATGTAGCTTAGCTTAACCATTCTGGAATGCAATTTGGCATTTAGCTAATAAAGTGGCTAAAATGTTCATACTCTTTAACCTGAGGATCCCAATACTAGGCATATACCTTAGTGTGGTCAATGATAGAATGGCTGCATATACTAGAAACAAAGTAGATGCCAAATGATTACAGAATAGCTTTTAAAAAATTGTGGCATGTGAATGTAATGATAGGCTATTGTGCCATGAAAAATGAAGAAAATGAAGACTACAGAGAAGTGTGGGAAGATATATGAACTGATAGAAAAAGTAGAACCAGGAAAACTACACACATACACAATGATTACAACAATATAAACAGCAAGAGCAGAAAAAAGCAACTGATTTGCTATGAGATTATAATGATGAGGTTTCTCCCTGAAAAAAATGGGAAAACCCTTCCTTCTTTGCAGAGATGGGGGATTAAAGGTATGAAGCAATAAACATACTGTTAGGCTTGGTTGATATCTTGGTTAATTTTGCTGAACTGCTTTCCCCCACCCCCCCCAGTAATAAAGCCTAGCTCTCTGAAAAAGAGAAGGTGGAAGGATACACATGAAAATCAAGATGATATAAAAACAGAAGGAATCAACGCACTTTTTAAAAAACAAAAGCACAGTAAAAATAACTCTAAGGTTTCACTTCACATCTACAAACTGGCAAAGATTAAAAGGCCATTAGTCAATGATGGAAGGAATATGGGAAGATGGACACAGTAATACACTCTTAGTAAAGAAAAAAAAGTTCAATGGTTTCTGGATATCAATTTGGAATTACTTGTAAAAAAGTGACTAAAATGTCCATCCCTTGAACTCACCCACAAAATGAAAGTGAATAGCAGAGTGGATTAAGAACCTGAATCCTCCAATATATTGTTTACAAGAAACATACTTGGAGCAGAGAGACACATACACAGCAAAGGTAAAAGTGGATAGAGTCGATTCTGTTATGCTTTAATTGAAGTAAAAAAAAAAACAAACCACAGGGATAGCAATCATGATCTCAAACAAAGCAAAAGCAAAAATAGATCTAATTAAAAGAGATAAGCAAGGAAACTACATCTTTCTAAAAGGTACCACAGATTTCCAATGAAATAAGATCAATACCAAACATATATGCATCAAATGGTATAGTATCCAAATTCTTAAAGGAGAAGTTAAATGAGGTACAAGAGGAAATCAACAATTAAACTATACCAGTGGGGGACCTCAACTTTCCCCTTTCAGAACTAGATAAATCTAACCAAAAAATAAACAAGAAAGAGGTTAAGAAGATGAACAGAATTTTAGAAAAGTTAGATATTACTGGCCTATGGAGAAAAGTGAATAGGAATAGAAAGGAACATCCCCTTTTCTCAGCAGAACATGGCACCTACACAAAAATTGATCATATATTAAGTAGGGCATAAAAACCTCACAATCAAATGCAGGAAAGCAGAAATATTCAATGCATTCTTTTCAGACTATGCAATAATTTTTTTTCAATAATAAGATTAAAAGATAGATTAGAAAAAGACATATAGATTAAAATTAATTGGAAACTAAATAATATAATCTAAAGAATGAGTGGGTCAAAAAACAAATCATAGGAATAATTTCATTAAAGAGAATGACAACAATGAGACAACATATCAAAATTTATGGGATGCAGCCAAAGAGGAAAATTTACATCTCTAAATGTTTACATCGATAAAATAGAGAAAGAACAGATCAATCAATTGTACATGCAACTAAAAAAAGTAGGGGGAAAAAAGATTTTAAATCCCCAATTAAAAACCAAATTGGAAATTCTGAAAAGCAAAGGAGAGATTAATAAAAGTGAAAGAAAACCATTTAATAAATAAAACTAAAAGCTGGTTTTATAGAAAAAAAAACAACAACAATAAAATAGATAAACCACTGGTTAATTTGATTAAAGAAAAGAAAGAAAACCAAGTTACCAGTATCAAAAATGAAAAGAGAAAATTAAAGCAATTATTAGGAACTATTCTGCCCAATTATGTCATGAAATCTGAAAATCTGAGTGAAATGGGATTAACAGAAGAAATAGAATACTTATATAATCCTATTTTAGAAAAAGAAATTGAAGAAGCCATCACTGAGCTCCCTGAGAAAAAATCTCTAGGACCAAATGGATTCACAAATGAATTTTACCAAACATTTAAAGAATAATTAATTCCAACACTACATAAACTATTTGGAGAAACAGACAAAAATGGAGTCCTACAAAATTCCTTTTATGGCACAAACAGAATGCTAATACGTAAACCAAGAAGAGCAAAAACAGAGAAAGAAAACTAGAGACAAATCTCCCTAATGAATACTGATGCAAAATTTAAATAAAATACCAACAAGATTACAGCAATACGTCACAAAGATCATACAGTATGATTAGGTGGGATTTGTACCAGGAATGCAGAGCTGGCTCAATATTAGGAAAACTATCAGCATAATTGACCGCATCAATAATGAAAGCAACAAAAATCATGATTATCTCAATAAATGGAGAAAAAGCTTTTAACAGAACACAACATTCATTCCTATTAAAAACACTAGACAGTACAGGAATAAATGAAGCTTTCCTTAAAATGATAAGTAATATTTCTCTAAAAGCATCAGCAAGAATTATCTGTAATGGGGATAAGCTAGAAGCCAACCCAATAAGATCAGGGTTGAAACATGGATGCCCATTATCATCACTATTATTCAATACTATACTAAAAATGCTAGATAAAGGAATAAGACAAGAAAAAGAAATTGAAGGAATTAGAACAGGCAATGAGGAAATAAAACTATCACTCTTTGCAGAGGATATGATGGTATAGTTGGGGAATCCTAGAGAAACAACTAAAAAACTTGCTGAAATAATGGACAACATTTAGCAAAGTTGCAGAATATAAAATAAGCCCACGTAAATTATCAGCATTTGTAGATATTACCAACAGATTTCAGCAGAAAGAGACAGAAAGAGAAATTCCATTTAAAATAACTCCAGACAATATAAAATACTTGGGAGTCTACCTGCCAAGACAAACCCAAGAATTATATGAATATAATTACAAAATACTTTTCACACTAATAAGGTCAGATCTGATCAATTGGAAAAATATTAATTGCTCATGGGCAGGCCATGAAAATATAATAAAAATAATTCTACCTAAATTAATTTACTTATTCAGTGCTGCACCAAACTACCAAGAAGTTATAGAAAACAATCATAACACAATTCATCTGGAAGAATAAAAGGTTAAGAGTAACAAGGAAATTAAAGGGGAAAAAAAATGTAAAGGAAGGTGGCTTAGCCATACTAAATATCAAACTGTATTATAAAGCAGTAATCTTCAAAGCAATCTGGTACTGGCTAAGAAATTGAGTGGTGGACCTGTGGAGTAGATTAGGTACACAATACACAGGAGGTAAATGACCACAGCAATTTAGTGTCTGATAAATACAAAGATCCCAGTTTTGTGGACAAAAAGTGCTAAGAAAACTGGAAATCGGTTTGGCAGAAACTAGGTATAGATCAAAATGTCACAATGTACACCAAGGTAAGGTCAAAAGGGATTTAGACATAAAGAGTGATACCATAAGCAAATTAAAGGAGTATGTAATAGTTTCCCTGTCAGATCTATGGGTAAGTGAAGAATTCATGACTAAACAAGAGACAGAAAACATTGCAGGATGTAAAATGGATGATTTTGATCACATTTAATTAATTTTTTTTTGCACAAACAAAACCAATGCAGTCAAGATTAGAAGGAAAGCAGAAAACTGCAGAAAAAATTTTACAGCAAGTTTCTCTGATAAAGGCCTCATTTCTCAAATATATAGAGAACTGATTCAAATTTAAAA